TCAGAAAAATGTTTCATGGATTGTGCCTTCAGTGGTACATTTAAGAACTCTTTGACTAACCCCCAGGTCACGAATATTTTTCTCCTATGCTTTCTTCTGGGAGTTTTGTAATTTTAGGTTTCACACTCAGACCTATGATTCATTTTCAGTTAATTTTAGTCTAATATGTGAGGTCTAGGACATGTTTCATTGTTTTTGCATGTAGGCGTACAGTTGTTCCAGCACCATTTGTTGAAAAAACTGTCCTTTTTCCATTGAATTGCTTTTGTACCTTCGTCTAAATCAGTCGGCCAAATTTGTGTGGATTTCTTTTTCTTTTTTTTATTCTCACCGAGGACATTTTTTCATTGTGAGAGAAACATCAATTGATTGCTTCTCTTAGGTTTCTCAGTTGGGGATCGAGTCCACAAACTAGGCATGTGCCCTCGCCTGGAATCAAACCTGCGACCTTCCGGTGTACGGGGCAACGCCTCAACTGCCTGAGCCACACTGGCCAGGTACGTGGGTCTATTTCTTGAGCCTCTATTCTGTCTCATTGACCTGTGTGCCATTCCCGACAGCAGCACACTCCTTTTTAAAAATAATTTTGTTTATTGACTTGAGAAACATCGACCTGGTGTTCCACCCACTCATGCGCCCACCTGTGGGCTCCTGCACGCGTCCCACAGGGGCTGGACCCCAAACCACGGTGTGTGAGGACAGTGCTCCCCCAGCCCAGCTATCCAGCCCAGACACTACTCTTTCCATTACTGTTGCAAGTCCTGTTGTAAATTCTAAATCAGGTAACACAATCCCTCCAACTTTATTCTTCTTTTTCAAAATTGTCTTAGCTATTCTAGTTTCTTTGCCTTTCCACATAAATTTTAGAAGCAGCTTGTCTATGTCTACAAAAATTCCTGATGGGATTTGACTGGAGCTGTGTTCAACTGACAGGTCAGTTCTATGGGTTGAATCGTGTTCCCCAGGAAGGTACGTTGAAGTCCTAGCCTGGACTTAATACATCACCTCAGAACATGACTATCTGGAAACAGGTAACTGTGGATATAATTAGTTCAGATGAGGTCATAGTGGAGTAGGGTGGGTCCTTAATACAATATGCCTGAGGTCCCTATAAGAGAAAAGACAGACACACGGGAGAACTCACATGACAGCAGAGGCAGGTGTGAAGGTGCTGCAGCCACAGCCAAGGAACGCCCAGGAGAGCGGGCAAACTACCAGAAGCTGGAAGAGGCCAGGGAGGGACTCTGGGAGGCTGCAGAGTGAGCACGGCCCTGCTGACACCTTGACCTCAGACTTCTAGCCTCCAGAGCTGTGAGACAGCTCTATTGTTCAAAACCACCCAGTTTGTGCTACTCTGTTATGGCAGCTGCAGAAAACAAATTCAATTAGTTTGGAGAGAAACTGCATCTTTACTATGTTGTCTTCCAATCCATGAATGCAGTATATTTATTTAGATTTTCTTTGATTTCTTTCATCAACATTTTGTTTTCAGCATAAACACCCTGTGTATGTTTTGTTAGAGTTTATACTCAAGTGTTTATTTTTTTCTTCCTTTCCTTTTGGAGCTATTACAAATAGTATTGTCTTTGTTAATTGTTCATTGTTAGCATATAAAATATGACTGATTTTTTTGTGTTAGTCTTGCACCTTGCAGTCATGATGAACTCAGTTATTACTTCTAAGACTCTTTGAAAAATTATATTAATTGTTATAAAACATTTTGTGATATTTCATCTTAATTTGAAAATACAAGGGAGAATCTGTTTTTCTATCAACTTGCAAAGAGCTTTAAAAAGGAGCAATTCCCATCTGTTGGACATTTACGCTGTTTCCTTTTGTTGTCACTGCTATTATTAATGGTGAAATGAATTTCAGATTCTGGGACATCAATCTCTGACCCCTTTTCTAATTCTGTCGGAGCAGAGATTCCTAGAAACGGGATTAGCAGGTCGAAGGGCTGCACCCTCCTTGCTACTGCACTGGGCTCAGTTGCTCTCCAGAAAGGCCACACGGACCCATCCCCGCTAGCACTGCGGGAGAGCGCCGAGTGCTCTGACATGTTGTTGGCTCTGGGAACGAGCATTTTAAAGCTCTCTGCCGTTTGGTAGGAGAAAAACAGTGTCTCCCTTGCATTTTAAAATAATCCTGTCTAAAATGCTAACCTGTCCCACCCCTGCTAAAAACCTTCCATGGCTTCCTTCAAAATAAAGTCCATGCCCCTAGCTGACAGGTGCGTGCCGGGTATCAGCTCCTGTTTACTCCCTTCATTGTTAATTCCACTGCGTCCTTCTTCCGCCCTCTACCAGGCGCTACAGCTCAGGTGGCAGCTTCAGAAACTCATAGCAAAACTCTTCCCCCTCTAAGACACTGCCTGGAATGCAGGTGTGCTCACCCTGCTGGCCCCTCCCCAAGGCACCCATGGAGGCACCTAGGAGAGGTTACAGTGGTGGTTCTGAAGCCAGACCAATGGCCTTCCTGTCCAGCTCTGCTACGTGGCCATGGAAAAGGCCACCTTTCTGTGCCTCAGATACTACACTGTAAAAGGGCAGTAAGGATGGCAGCTGTCTCCTAGAGTTGTAAGGATTAAATGAGTTAATAAGAGTACATCAGAACCGTCTGGTGCTCGGGGAGTATTAATACATCTTAGCTGCTATTGTTGTTATTCACAGCTGCCCCTCCCTGATCTGGCCCGTCACCCACAGGAAACAGTCCACTGCCACCACCCTTATTCCACTGTGTTGCTTCTTAAATGCATGAGCCTCATGTTTTTCTTCTATCAATAAATGAAGCGAATAACCCCACACCTGCTTCAGACTCACAACAATGATTTAAAGAGCTAATATGTATCCAAGTGCTTTTTAATGTTGTACATCACTTTGGCGAGGGTTATTATCTCTGTCCCCCTCCCCCCATCGGAAGGAGGGAGCAGGATGACAGTGAGAGCTGCAATTTACTGGGTGCCTGTGTGGCGGGTCCTTCAGTGCCCCCCTGCTGTGCGGCAGTTGGGGCCCTGGCAGGAAATGGAGCCCACCCCAGGGCCTTCGAGAAGCTCTAATGCAGGAGCTCTTTATGGGGGTGCAGGCGGGTGGGGTGAAGGGGATCAATGAGGAGTGGTGGGGCGCAGGGGCCAGCGATGGTTGTAAGTCACTGTACCTCCTAGGGCCTAAAGGCTGGAGCAGAAGCTACATGCCCCAAGCCCCAGCCATGAAGGGACACAGAGCAGCCAGCTCAGGAGCCAAGCAGGGCCAGAGCAGGGGAAGGAGCACCCCAACTTCTCTCCCCTTCTAGGATGTCCTACGCTAGGCACTGCCCAACAGAGAGCCAGCTGGCAAGGGGGCCCGGGGCCCAGGGCCAAGCGGTCAGCCTTCCAGACACTGCACTGGTCAGAGCAGAATAAATGGGGTGAGTGAGGGGTGGACGGATGAAGGGAGAATAACAAGCGCAGGGAGACTGGGCTGTTCTCCACCGTAACCACCTCTGATTCTGCAGACGAGAAGACTGAGGCCCAGAGACGTGAATAACGTGCCTGCTCTCTCAGAGCTGGCAAGGTGAGGCTAGGGGTGATAGCGGGGCTCAGAAGGGTGGTCCCTCGCCCAGCCTCCCAGGTGTTGGCTGGGCTCAGGGGCAGCAGCACCCACCGGCTGCTGTCTCCCTCCTTTCTCCTCCCTTCCTCTCACTTGTCCCTTGCCCTATCCTCTCACCTGCTGTCTGCCTTGGCCTCTGAGAAGGCTTTTGGCTCCCTCTCCCTTTTCTGTCCTTCTCCCCTTCATCTCTCTCTCCTCCCATCTTCCCGGTCTCCCTCTTCCAGTCTCGCCTACAGCGGCTCTCTGCCTTGTCATCCATTGCCCAGAGCTCAGATTCTCGGCAACTCAACTCTAGGTTGCGCCCCTTCGTCTCCCATCTCCGCCTCCACATCCCCCCATTTCCGCCTCCACATCCCCCCATCTCCGCCCCGGCACCGGTCCCTGCATGTCCGCCTCCGGTCCCCCCCTGTCCCTCCGCCCCTGCAGCAAGCTCGGTGGCCGGGGTGGGGGGCGGGGAGCTGGCGCTGCGCCCAGCCTGAGTCACACGCATGAGGCAGCGTGAGTCAGGCGCGGAGGGAAGTCCCTACGGAAGGGGCTTTCGGAGCCGCAATTGAATCGCGGGGAAAGAGAAAGTGTTCAGAACGCTCCTTTGACACAGTGACCTTGTGTGAGCCCAGGCCGGACACACCCCCACACTCTACCCACAGACAACACGCACCCAAGCCCACCGCGGCCCTGCCGTCACGTCTGCTCCCAGGTGCGCGGCTGCCAGAGGCGGCGCGCAGGGACTCCCTCCCCGCGGGCCAGGCGGGGCCGGGCGAGGCCGGGCGAGGGGCCAGCATCCAGGGATCTCAGGCTTCGCCGGTCTGTCCACAGGACAGTCTCCTCCCCAGCTTCCCAAAAGCCTGGCGAGTGCCCCAGCCAGCATCGCTCACCTGCTCCAGACTCTAGACCCTTTCTCCCACACGGGGTGGGGGAAGGGTGTCAAGAAAGACTCCCTGGGGCCGACCAGGTCACCTTGTGGAGCCCTGCGGGTGGTAGAGGAGTCGGGCAACGTGGGTCCCTACAGGGACGCTCTCCTAACCCTGCGAGACTGACCTGCAATCGCACCGCCGGGCTCAGTTAAACAAGTATTTACTGAGCATCTACAATAAACACCAGTGCCGGGCTCCGGAGACCCGGAATTCGCCGTGAACCGACAGGGCAGAGAACGAGATACTATGTCAACTCCCGCCCTCTAACAGAGACGTGGGGTGGGAGTGGGGGCAACAATAAATAATAAATAAGCAAATAATCTAGACCAGCACCATCCAATAGAAATGGACCAGAAGGCACATAGCTACTGTTAGATTTTCCAGTAGTGGTATTAAAATGGTAAGAAGAAACACAGGAAATTAACCCAATATATTGAAATATCATTTCAACATACAACCAACATACAAAAAAATTAGTATTTTCACATTTGTGTGTGTGAAACAAATCTTTGGAATCTGGTGACGATCTCACGCTTCTAGCATGTAACTCAGACTCACTCCGTTTGAGAGCCAAGTGCATGGTCTCCACCTGTGCCCAGCACTGGGTGACCCTGGGGGGCGGCAGAGTCCAGGTGTCAGCTAGGGGCTGTGGAACAGAAAAAAACAAGAGCAGGGTAAGGGGGTGGGGAGAGCTGGGTGGGGAGGGGAGGGGAGGGGAGGGGGACAGAATTCAGAGAAGCGAGACCACAGACACTGAATTCCGGTTCTGCCACTGGCATTGGCAAGTCGCCTGGTCTTGCGGAGCCCCGGTTTCCCCATCTCTGAAATGGGGACACGATTCCTCCTGTGGGGACTGGAGGAATGCTCACTCATTAAATGTTGTTTTTGTCCCCACCCCCTCTAGCTGTCTCTAGCAGTGGCCAGGGCACACCTTCCCAAACTTAGAGTCATATCCCCTCCAGCCCTAACACTTAATGGCCTCCAATGGCAGCCTAGCCACCCCCCCAACCCCAGGCCCTCCATTTTTTAACCATTTCTCACCCAGCAACATACTTAACCTCTCTGGATTTCAGTTTCATTCACTATGTAATTGCACATTTTGAACTCTTGGGGGAAAAAAATTGTAGAGTTACTTCTAGGGGACCAAGTCACTGCCATGGTGGGTGGGGGCGCCAGGTCTCAACCTCATAGTACTGAGAAGGTGAATTTCCTCTTTGGGAACCAGAAAAAGGATTTCTGCCCATGAAAATCATCCTGCTCCCAAAGACCTCTCCCACCAAGGGCAAAATAGCCAGAAAAAGGGATGCTTAGGAACAGCAGACATCTCTGGCTTGTGTGACTCAGTGGACTGAGCATGGGCCTGTGAACCAAAGGGTCACTGGTTCAATTCCCAGTCAGGGCACATGCCTGGGTTGCAGGCTAGGTCCTCAGTAAGGGACGTGCGGGAGGCAACCACACATTGATGTTTCGCTCCCACTCTCTCCTTCCCTTCCTCCCTCTCTAAAAATAAATAAATAAAATCTTTTTCTTTTTTTTTAAGGAAATGTGGACAGAGTCTCAGGGCTGGAGGAGAGGGAAACCCCAAGCCAAGAGGTTGCCTCATGAGGAGTGTGCGAGGAGTTCTGCATCCCTGCCTTTACACACCCCACCTCCGGGGCAAGCAGGCCAGCAGGCCCACAAGCCCAAGGGGAATTCAGGACCAACAATGAGGCCCTCAGTGGGGGCTCCATGGGGGCTCACCAAGGCCCCACCAAGGGTGGGAGCGACGGGTGGGAGCAAGTCCTTTGGTCCCAGACAAAGGAGGCAGCAGGGTCTGGATTTGGGAGGCAGACCTGCCCTCACTGCACCCCACCCAGAAAGCCTGGGAACCGGTAGGGCTCCCTGGATGGTGACCCAGAAATCTGACTGTCGGAGCTCCTCCCTGGCACTGCCCACATGGATCTCCACTGCTTCCCTGGCAACCACCAGGGTTTCTTTCCCCTGGGCTTCTATGCCCACCCACTCGCCCCTCTACCCCCTGAGACCCACTCAGCCTCCCCAAGGCTACCCCGAGCCAAGCAGCTGGATTTGGGGCCATGCAGACCTCAGCGTAGGCGGGGATGGGAGAGAGCATGTTCAAGCCTGGGTTTGCTCTTAGACGGACACTGCTCAGCCTTCCAGGCCACTCCGGTGTTCCAGATCCAGAGGGCCACCGGTCCCTCAGTGACTGAGTTCCTAGAAAGCAAGGAAGAAAACAAAGATGCCGTCCACTCAATTCACACTGAGGACTAGGCCTTGGAGGACATACGACCCCAAAGGTTGTACAGGGTAGGAGAGAGGCCTGGAGCCTGGGTGAACGGGGAGCAACGAGGTTTAGCCCAGGATGGTAGGGAGGAAGGCTGCCTGGGCCCCTCGCAGCCGCCATCTCCAGCTAGCCAGATTCCAGACCAGCTGGCTCGCCCTGCTCTGCCCGCCTCCTTCCTCCTCTGCTCTCCCGCCAGTAGCCACCTCCCCTCCCCCACTTCGCTCCTCCCCCTCCCCTCCCCCCAGCCACCTACTTTCTCTGCCCGCACCCCGCCCCCCCAAGCCTCTTTCGCACTCTTTCATCCATCCATTCACCAAACTGTTGCTGAGCGCCAAGGCTCCCTTAGGCCCCGGTGCGAGGCTCCGAGTGGGGAGGAGAAAACAAAGCTCTGGAGGAGTCCCACCAACCCCGGCCTGGCGTTGGCTCCTCCCGCACTCTAGCCCCCCTCTCTCAGTTAGGCCGCCCGCCCTTCGACCTCCACCCTGCCCTCCTTTCCTTCCCGAACTCTGGCCCAGCCTCTGGGGCTGTGGGTCCAGCCCCTGTCCCATGTGCTCTGGGAGCAGGCAGGCAGCACCCCCTCCTGCCTATTCCTGGTATGGAGCTCCCTTCCCCAAGAAAAGTTCAGGGTGGGGGTTCAGGGTGACCTGGAGGGGAGGGAGCAGGGGGTGACTCAGGACACAGCTCCCCAGTTGGAGCAGCGTCCCCCTGCAGAGGCAGAAGGAGCCAGCCAGGACTCTTGCAACTACAGACTTGGAGTAGGAGGTGGCCTCCCACAGCTAGTAATGGAGGACAGTCACTTTTGAAGACCCCAGGGGGTCACCGTATCTCTTCCCCAGGCCAGGACATATTCCCACTTGAAAAGCAGGCAAGGAATAGGACAAGAGGAACAGAAGTCAAGGACCATGTGACACCTTGGGGCCTGTGGCCTGGACGGACAAACTCAGCCCCCAGAGAACAGGGTCACAGGCCCACAGCCACTGCCCCGACGCTTCCTTCGACTGGCTCCCATGGGTGAGGCCTTCGTCGGCTACACACCTTGAAGGGGCACGTGTTTTCCACCACTTCTCAGTGGGAGGAGGCAACGTGTTTGGGGCATTTTATCTGCAGAGTCTGTTGTACTACACGTTGTCAGATAGTTCCTTAGGCCAAAGGGAAACTATTTTATTCCATGCAAAGCGTAAATGTTACTCACACTCACCTAAAGTGCAGTCTGGTGAGCTGCCACACTGCCCAGTCACCAACCAGCAACCCAGCCAGCCATTCTGCCCCGGCCAAAGGCCAAGACAGTTGTCACCTGGCCGACAGTTCCTGACAACTACACCTGAGGCCAAGGGAAAAAACAATTTCCTCTGATCGGTGGCAAATTATAAAATCCACAGGTGATACCCACTACACGTGAGTCTGAGTGCAGGAGATGACAGCCCAGAGATTCTGACCTAGTGAGACACACAGATGTCTCTGTAAGGTGCAGACCCCTGTCTCAGGTCGGGCCACTCTGTCACTCCTATGGTGGTCTGCAGGCTTCCCTGCCCTTTTCTCGGCCTTGGAATTCAGGTCCCCAGCACGGCTCCCTGTGGCTGGGTCTGTGCTGACAACAGAAATCATTTTGGCCAATCATTCTTCATTCAACACGTTTTTTGAGCTTGAACACTGTGCTAGACCCTAGAGATACCCCAGTGAGTCCAACCGAGAAAGTTCCCTACCCTGTAGGAGCTGACCTTTCAGTGGGGAGAACTGGAGAGAAAACACAGTGCATATCACTTTTATTGATAACAGTTCAATAGAAAAGTTAATGATACGTTAGAAATTGACAAGTGCTATGGGGGGAAAACACGGTAGGAGAGGTGCAATGTTAAATAGTGTGGACAGGCAATAGTGAAGGCTGTGAGGGGCGAACCCTGAGAATATTTAGGTGAAGAGCACGTCAGGCAGAGAGAATGACAAGTACAAAGGCCCTGAGGTGAGCTCAGACCTGTGGCTGCCAGGTCTGGGTAGCGCCTGGGGAGGCTGGTGTGGCTGGAGCAGAGCAGCAGGTAGAGATGAGGTGGGGGAGGGGCGGGTTGCAGGGCCTTGTGGGCCTTTGTGAGGACCTCGTTTCCACTCCATGTGAGATGGGAGTCCCTGGAGGATTTTGAGCAGAGGAGGAACATGCCTTATGTTTTAGGCAGAAAACGATTTAATACTGAGAATTAGGTGCTTACAAAACCATTGGGAAAAACTGGAGGAGCCAGCTGTAGGCTGGGAACACTACTGTCTGCCTGCCTCTGCCTCGATGGGGGCGGGGTGGAATCAGGAGGCCCTGCCTGAATGGCTGAGCTGTGATGGGGACAGGAGTTCTTTCTGTCACCATTCCTGACTCTTAACCCTTACAGCGGTAGCGAGTGGATGCTGGAGGTGCTGCAGAAAACCCCGTGCCTCTACAGCCCACGCAGCAATATTTCCCTTTCCTGGTTTCCTTCCAACAAATTTCACTCTTTAGTGGGACCTAATTCACATTCAAACCTGCAGCTTCAAGTAAGTGTGGAGAATGGTGCTGAATGCCAACCCATGGTGTCTGCTACAGCCCTAAGCCCATCCCCAAGTCAAACGCCTGCTACGTCCCAGCCCCACCCCTGCATGCTCTGCCCACAGCCAGGGCCCCTGCTCCCTACAACCCAGCTGCTGTCAGGCAGGCACCACACTGGTGAAACTACCCTGTACTTGTTTGTCTCCCTACTCCACCCAGTGAAGTCCCCTGAGCACAGGGAACATAGCTACCTCACTTAAGTCCCACCCCCAGTGCCCATCTCAGTCCCTGGAGGGATCCAGTTAGCCAGGCTGGGAGAAGGCAACAAACCCACCCAACTTAGGAGAAGAAGCAGTGGAGGGGAAAGAGGCAGAATCCCAAGCTAACCTCCCTGAGCCTCAGTTTTAACACCTATAAATGGGGATGATAGCTTTGCTGAACTGGTAGGGATGTTCTGGGATCTGCAGTCAGTAGGTGCTCACAACTCTCCTTTCCCTCCATTGTTTCCTGAGGTTGGAGAGGAGCTGGGCTTTTCTGGGTTCCAGCTCTGAAGAAGGTGGCTGATAAAATGGATGGTATCCTGGGGTCATGCATGGTGGGTGGTGGCTCAGGAAAGTGGGGAGAAAGGTGCCTGCCCCCTGAACATTCCTATTTATTGGAGAATTTTTCCTTCGAAAGTTGGAAGCAGAAGAGGCCCTCCCTCTACCCTAGGCCTGCCAGACTTCCTGGCAGCAGAGCTTGTGGTCAGCAGGGCCTGGTGGCCTGGTCCTGCCAAGTGAGCAGATGTACTAGTAGCTGGGTGACTCTCCAGGAGAGTAGTCACTGTGCACCGGCGTGACCCTGTCCCCAGCTTGCCTGCGTCAGTGTTGGCTGTTATGGTCCTGGGTCAATCCTAGTTATAATGGGCCAGCTCAGGTTCATGCTCATTGTCTGGTCATAACTACTAGTACCCCCTTTTACTCTTAAGTGTCTTGCTTGTCTGTAATAGCTGAGCACATATAGCCTATGGTCCAGGAATTCCTCTCCTAGGTATGTACCCAACAGAAATGCTTGGTGTACATGTCACCAAGAAATATTCCAGGACATTCACAGCAGCACTACTTGTAATAGTACCAAACCAGAAATTATCCAAATGCCCTACAACAGAGTGTATATAAAAACTGTGATACACTTAACACCATGTAACCATGCAGCAAAGAGAATGAGCATTCTGCAGCTATGGGCAATAACATGGATGAATCGCGACATAACGCTGAACAAAGGAGACTAACACAAGAGAGTACGCAACATGATTCCATCCACACAATGCACAAAAAAGTTGGAATTAAAGGGCGCCGTTAGAAGTCGAGATGGTGCCCTGGCTGATGTGGCTCCATGAGCTGGGCGTTGTCCCACAAACTGAAAGGTCGCTGGTTTGACTCCTGGTCAGGGCACATGCGTGGTTTGCTGGCCAGGTCCCAGTTTGGAGGCCTGAGAAGCAGCCCAAACAGGGATGTTTCTCTCCTTCCCTTCCCCTCTTTCTAAAAATAAATAAATAAAATCTTTAAACAAACAAACAAAAATGAAGTTGAGATGGTAGTTACATAAAGGAGGATGGAAATGTTCTTTTTCTTGATATGGGTGCTAGCCACACAAGGGTGTTTGTTCACTTTATGAAAAGGCACTGAGCTGAACACAGGATTTATGCCTTTTCTGTACGTACAGTTTTCATCAATAAAAGGTGTACCTTAAAACATATCCTGGTTTGTATCATAGGTTCCAGGGGTGTCCAATCTTTGGCATCTGTGGGCTGCACTGGAAGAAGAGTTGTCTTGGGCCACACATTAAATACACAAACACTAACGAAACCTGATGAGCAAAAAAAAGGTTTTAAGTATTTTTACGATTTTGTGTCGGTCCGCATTCATAGCCATCCTGGGCCACGTGCGACCTGCGAGCCGCGGTTTGGACACCCCAGTAGACAATTTCTACTTCTCTTCTGCCCACCTCTCCCCATCTACCTTCCAGGTGGGACTGACACACAGGACTGTCACGCCTTATCCCCGAGTCTTTCAGGAAACCTCGACTCTCCCAAGAGCTGTAGTTGACTCAAAAGCAAGAGGTAAACTGACTAGTAAATATATAACTGGAGAAACGGGAGGCATGAATCCCCAGGAAATGCTAAGGGACACCCCAGCCTACCACGACCTCAGAATTTCAACCTGCAACTGGGAGATTGTCTAACTCTTGCTACTCCGCTTAGCAGAGCAGGGGAAAAACTAACATACATCAGAAAGAATTTCAACAGCCCAGGTAAGAGTAGGTTTACCTTAGGCTGTCCTGTAAAATACAGTTGACTTGAACTCCCTGTTTCCTGAGTGTCTGTTGGGGTCATTGAGTTGAATGGGTTTTCCTTGTGGAAACTGTGTAATTCAACTCTGACAGTGAGGAAATGCTCCCTGTGGCAAAGATTGGTTCTGATACCACCAGTTCCCCTGGGGCCCCTCAGGCCTTCACCCACCAGGTTTACGTCCCTGGCCTAGAAGTAGCTCCTTTTTCCTGCCTGCTCCCCATCGTCCCCCACTTATCCAAATCCCATCTTGGCCTGTTCAAGCCCACCTCCTTTAGGAGACTTCCTTGACTGCCCAGAGCTCCCTCCTCTCCTCCTGTAGCACCTGATCCCTAGTCTAAGTTTCTAGAGCACAAGGAACTTTGCTTACTGGTTATACCCCAACAGCATGGAAAAGTTCTTGGTACATAGTAGGCCCTCAGTAAATACTGAATCGATGAATGAATGAATGCTTGCTTTCTGCCTTATGGCATGAAGGGGTTCCCAACCTCTGGACCTGTTAGGAACCAGGCCACACAGCAGGAGGTGAGCTTGAATCATCCCTAAACCATCCCCCGCTCTGGTCCGTGGAAAAATTGTTTTCCACGAAAGTGTTCCTTGTTCTGATTCCTCTAGACATGAAATTCACTGGAGCAAGAACTATGTCTTATTCATTTTTTAAATCTCTACCCCTCACCCTTATGCTTAATAATTATTGAAAGAGTAAAGAAAGTAATTTTGGGGCATTTGCAATCCAGAAAGCATGGAGGCAAGGGTCAGTGGTAGAGTTATTTGGGTTTCAAAGGTGTGGGTAATCCTGAAGAACAAATTACTATATTTGCCTACAAATTTATTTATATCTGCTTCCTTCCAGAGAGATTGAGGTGGCTTACAAAAATACACATAATACAAGGTAAAAAACAAGTAGGTGAGGAAATCAGTATGAGGGAAAAATACGAGTAGGGAAAAAAATAACATTAAGTCGGTTGATGAAAAGTGGGCCAAAAAGTTGAACGAGTTTTTCCACAGCCCACTGGAAATGGAAGTCTCTCTCTCCCCACCTGCCTCTCAGGGGCAGCCACAGGCCTCACAAGGCCTACCTGGCCACCAGCCCCACAGGCCTGGCCTAGAAGCCTAGAGGGCCCTGCCTAAGGCTGTATCTAGGGGAACCCCTCTCTTGTGAGGGCTATCCCTAGCCCAGTCGTGGGGGGCCGGGTGGATGGCAGGAGCCTGTAGCCTGAGGGCTGAAGGATCGTTCTTCCACTCAACGTCGCGAAGGTTCGGGAGCTAACAACTCCACGCCACGAGGCCAACTCTACTCGCGGCCTACTAAGCGCGCGCTGGTCACGTAAAGCACAAAGATGGAGCAGCGCGCCCTGCACCCCGCCCCACCCTCAGCTCCAGACAAAGGGGCAGGCGGCCCTTCCCCCAGCCTCTCCCTCGAGTTCCCCTCCACCCTCCTCTCCCCTCAGGCCGCCCTTCCGTGACTTCCTCTCCCCTCCAGGGGCAGCCTGCGGACTTCGCTGTTGCGGCATTCCACCTGGGCGATGGGCGGGGAGCGGGAGCGCGGGTAGGCGGCCTCCCCGCCCACCCCTACCTCCCGCAGGCCTCAGACCCGCGCCCTCTTCTTTGAACCGGTTCGGTCGGCCCCCGGCACCTTCCCGCCCCGGTGCCCCGCCCCCACCCGGCGAGCACGTGCTGCCCCGGGTGGGGGCTGGGCCCTCTCTCGCCTTGGTACCCCACCCCCACCGGAAACATTCCTGAAACATTCCTGAAACTAGGAGGCCCGGCCCCCTCGGTTCCCCACCCCGCCTCCACTCTGCGCTCAGGGTTTTCCTGGAGTCCCCCCTCCACCGCCGGCTTGCCCCTAGAGGAGGGGGTTGGGCCCAGGCCTCAGCTTACAAGGGAGGAAGAACATGAGTCACAACAGTGTGTCACCGGGTCGCATTGCAATTCCCTGCATCACGGGAGGTGTGGAAGGCCGCCTCCGGGATCAGGAGTGGGGAGGTGCGCTCTGTAAGGCCCCGGCCCGGCCTGCAGGGCGCGCCACTAACAGCGTCCTTCTCCCACCGCCCTCCCCGCCATCTTCCCACTTTGGCTTCCTTCCCGGCCGTGCAACAAGTCTTTGTTGAGCCGGCGCCTGTGCGCCCGGCGCGGCGGGTATGGCGTACATGGACTGAGTCCCTGCCCTCAAAGTGCTTCCAAGCGGTCTCCGGTTCACGCTTTACTTAAAAAGTCACAGCAGATGGGGCCAAGGAACCAAGCGGGAAAACGTATGAAGGAATCTTCCCTCAGGTTTACCTGCACCAAGCCAATTGTTTGCCTTGTTTGAAAGATGCACCTTAATTATGGTTCACTCGCGACCATTAATAAACTAAAACTCTGGATTTCATAAGTTTCACGTTTGAATTTCACAAGGCCTGAATTTCATCAATCCAATCAGCCACACGCAGGTTGGCACTGAAATGTACATGCTGACACCTGTCTGCCCAGGGGAAATTACCAGCAGCGTATCTGGGCGAAGGGGGCGGCGGGTAGGCCGCGGAACTCCAGCCCGCGCGTTTCTCTCCACCCCTCCCGCCCGCGCGGACCCCGCCGGCACCAAAACTACCCACGTTCTCGCGCTCCGTGAGCGTCAGACCCATATGTCCCGAAGACCCCTGGAAATGATTCTACTAGGGACCCCCAGTTCAGGCAGTAAGGACGCCCCCCACCCCACCCCCCAACCTCACGAAAAGCTCCTTGATGACCCCTCTTGTGCCCTTTCTCAGGTCTCCCGATATGAGGCAGTGTGGAGTGGGCCGGCCGCTCGGGTTCTTAGCACTAACCCCTGGCACCAACAACTACATAATCTTATCCAAAGTCAGCACCCACCCGCGGGGCGGCTGGCGGGCGGCCGCCCTTTTAAATCCCCGGGCTCATTTGCATGTCCCCGCCCCCTCAGTGACAAGGCTGGCGCGGGCGGGCCCGTCCCCCCTGCCCCTGGGTCGCTCTTTTTAAGCTCCCCTGAGCCGGGGCTGCGCTCCTCTAATTGGGACTCCGAGCTCGGGCTATTTCTGGCGCTGGCGCGGCTCCAAGAAGGCGTGAGTTCGCGGCCCCTCCGGTGGCTTTTTTTTTAATATCTATCATTTAATTAAATTATTTATTTATTGAGGCCGCGCACGGGCCGTGCCTAGCTTCCTGCCCCTCGCCATCCTTCGGGGGAGGGGGAATATTTTTGTTCCCACTCCTGGATGTGACACATAAATACCCCGTGGGGGCCTGGGCGGCGAGCACGCGGCGGTGGCAGTCTCTGAGCGCCTCTGCTGTCTCCCGGTTTCAGATCCGCATTTGCTACCAGCGGCGGCGGCGGCGGAGCCAGGCCGGTCCTCAGCGCCCAGCACCGTCGCTCCTAGCAGCCCAGAGCTCGCACCACAGGCCGGCGACCGAGCTCGCGGTGAGTCTTACCCGGGCCCCGCGACGGAGGAGGGCGCCCGCGCCCCCCTGCCTGCAAGCCACCGGGGGCTGCAGCGCGCGCCTCCAGCTTTATTCCCAGGCCGGGACTGCGCGAGCCTCGGGCGGAGGAGGGCCGCGCAGCGCGGGGGCGGGTGCCGGGGCCCGCAAGCGTGGGGAGGGCGCCCGCACCTCTTCCCCCGCGCCGCGGGCGCCCAGCGGGGGGCGGGGACCCGGGAAGGGCGCGCGGTGGGGGAGGGGGCGCGCGGCTGCAACGAGCGCGAGTTGTGCACCCGGCGGTTCCCGATGCACCTCGCGCCCGCCGCTCCCGCCCGAGCCCGAGCCCGGGCCCGGGCCCTGGGTATTGGGGGCGGGGAGAGGAACAGGCTGCGGCGCAGCGGGAGAGTGGGGGGCCGGCCATCCCCCGCAGCCTAGGGAAGTTGTAGAAGTGAGGGGGATGGGCAGGAACCCCGCAATTAGGCCCTACTCCCGCTCGGCCTTTACCTGGTGTTCCTCCTCGCAGATGAGGCCGAATCGTGGGCCTAGGTTTGGGGCTTCACCCCGACCCCACCTCTGGCCCTGCCTGCGTGCCTCTTCAGCCCCCAGGGCCAGGCCTGCCCTCCACCCTCACAAACTGGTTTCTCTGCTTTGCTGGGCTCTGTTGGAACTAGTCCCTTTGACTCCCCGTTTCAGTTTATTTTCCTGGGGCTTTATTTTGCGGGGAGGGCACGGAGGGACGTAGCTTTCTTCCTCTCCCCCGCGCGCGCCAGGTTTCCTGCCCCAAGGCGGGCTTGGGTGCCCCCTCTGGCAGGAAGTGGGGCCGGGTGCACCCGCGTGGCCGTGCATGCGGTCGGGGTGCACCGGTTTCCCGCGCCTGCTAATGCGGCCTGCGCCCCTCCCCCTGCACGTTTTAGCCCCTCGTCCCGTCGGTAGACCTGCATACAACAGCCAAGGCAGACACTTGCACAGTCACCCGGGGGTCGGGTGTGGAGTAGGGTATCACAGAGACTTAACAACGTCAGGGCGAATAAGGAAAGTGGCGGGCTAGAGGGTCGCCAAGAACCTATTCTGTCCTATTCAAATAGCTATGTGACTTCAGCGAACTTATCAGGGCTCTCCGTACTACTGTTTTTGTGAAACAGGGCAACTTCCGGATGATTTTCTAGGGTTATCCCTGCAAATTCTCTTAAGCATTTGTGGAGCACACATTACGCGCACGGTGTTACAAAGGGAACAAGATTGGGCCTTAAACGTGCCTTCTCCATGCCAGGCCTCTCTGATGTTAGAAACAGGTGGAAGAGACAGCATTTGTTGGTCTCGCCAGAGAGGGCCTCAGGCCTTCATTCATTTCATGGAGTGCTGGATTTGGGGTGGGTGAGTGGACTCATGGGTTCCCAGCAGCAAGAGGTGGCGAGGGGGAAGTAATAGATGAAATAGGAACTTCCAGGAAGACCCACCAGGATCCCAGCAGGCAGTGCCCAGGCTGTCTGGGATTAGGGACCAGCTTCACCCAACTAGAACCCCCTCCCTGAGGGGTGTTCCAGCAGACCTCATGTGAGGTCAGTACTCATTTAGCTGATTAATTTGGATGTTTAGTTTGAAAGGGGACCTGTGGTGTAATAGAAGATTCTAATCACTGCCTTTAATTACAGAGCAGGCCAAGCCACTAATGACAGAGCAGGATAAATCACCAACCACCTTGTTTAAAAGGGTCTTCAAGTCTGAAATATTATAAAATAAAGTAAATACCAGAAAAAGCCCCACTGTCTGGAGCATCCCGAAGCTTTGAGGAAGGGGGCCTTGGGCCCTCCAAAAGTCACAATTGTGCAAAATATTTTTTGTTCCTTTGATTGGGTTAAAATTGGGAATTGTCTGAAAGAGGGAAAGAAATCATTTTCAAGTGTTCTAGTTCTCATTTTGAATGAAAACTGCCCATTGTTTAGGCATTTTAAAACTGTTTGGTTTGATCTTTGAAAAAGTCTGGAAAGGTAGTCGAGGCAGATATCTTACCTTTACCCCATTTTACAGACTAAGGGGCTTTCAGAAGTGGATGTGTTAAAGGTATTTTGTTTTGCTTTAGTGTATTTATTGATTTTGGAGAGAGAGGAAGGAAGAGATAAACATCAACTTGTTATTCCACCCACTTATTTATGCGTTCATTGGTTGATGCTTGTATGTGCCCTAACCTGGGATCGAACCTGCAATCTTGATATGTCAGGATGATGCTCTAACCAATTGAGAAACTGGGCCAGGCCCTCACTTGTAAGTCTCTGGAAAAGGCTCCCAACTACAGGGTACTGGTGTCCTTGCTGTTGGGGGAGGGAGGGGGTAGGTCAACTCCAATAGTGGGGCTGATTAAACTGAAACAGGCTTTTATGAAGAGGGAACATACTAGAAGAGGACCAAGAAGCTTTTAGGATCAGCCTTGCCAGGGCTCCAGAGGGCCAGCTGGAAGCGTCCATCTCAGTTGGAGGTACCTCTCCTGTAAGAAGGCATTAAAAGGAAAGGTCTCATCGGACTCCGGAGGGCCCAATGAGAGAGAGGGGACCCACCTTACTCAGCTCAGCCATCTTCTCCCTCCCCAAACTGTGTCCCCATCTTTGAATCCTAGGCTTTATCCTGAGAGAGAGCAGGAGGTGGCACCCGAGGGGCCCTGGCACCAATCCTGGACATGTGATTGGTGTGGATTGTTAAGGTTGCCTTTGTAGTTTTTGGTTCTGAGCCTTGAGAATTTGCAGCAAGGTGTGCAAGGGATTGAAGCTCATGGTTGCCGGAAGCCCAGGTTCATTTTCTCTGCTTACCTTTCCTCCCTTGTTCCCTGTGTACTTCCCAGGCTTGGTGAAAGGGCAGAATTCTGCCGGCTAGAGAGAGGGGGCTGCCTCACAGTGTGAGGACCCCCGCTTCATCCATACCTTGGCCCAGGGCAGCCTCACCCTCAGAGGCAGATCTGGGCTGCCTGTGCCTCAGGCCCTGGCCCTGTGGGGTGGCAGGACAACAAAGAGCCCTTCCGAACAGCAGATAAGGAGCTGATTAGGGCCAACGGCCCGGCCCCACCCTGTGGCAGCTGGGTGGGAGTCTGGGGCACCCCTGCCAGCAGGCAGTTTTGTTAAAGTGCATTTGGAGTGTGGGAGGGGTGAGGGGTGGGTAGGAAGTGGCTGAAACAAAGTGTTTTGTCTAAAACCACTTCTCCTGCCTCCAGCATCCACCTGCTCCATAGAGAAGGGAAGATGAGCGAGTCGAGCTCGAAGTCCAGCCAGCCCTTGGCCTCCAAGCAGGAAAAGGACGGCACTGAGAAGCGAGGACGAGGCAGGCCTCGCAAGCAGCCTCCGGTGAGTCCTGGGACGGCGCTGGTAGGGAGTCAGGTGGGTGTCCAGATCTTTGCCTCAGTTTATCCCTTTGGGCTAGGGAGGTGCCAGGTGTCTTGGCCTGTGAAACAGGAATGGAGGGGTGCACAGTTGTTCCTGTCTGCATGTGTCCTTCCCACATGTGCTTGCATACCTTATGCTCACGAACCCTGTAGGTAAATTCTGAGACCCCAGGAGAAAAGTGGGGATTGAGCCCACACCAGAAGGTCCAAGCCCAAGTAATCCTCAGCTCACGCAGGCCTGTGCTTACACTGGGGTGGACCACCTGCTCTTCATTTCCAGTTTATTGTGGACCAGTATGTTTATAGAACAGTAAAGATGAACTCTAGAAACTTGAAAAGAAATATAAGCCTAGGGTTTTTTAAAAAAGATTTCATTTATTTATTTTTAAAGAAAGGGGAAGGGAGGGGAGGAGAAAGAGGGAGAGAAACACCAATGTGTGGTTGCCTCTTGAGCATCCCCCACTGGGGACCTGGCCTACAACCCAAGCGTGTGCCCTGACTGGGAATCAAACTGGCAACCCCTGCTTTGTAGGCTGGCACTCAGTCCACTGAGCCACACCAGCCAGGGCAAGCCTAGGTTTTTTAATCCTGAGATTCATCACACTTATTGCAGTGTTGATTTGCTATTCTAAAAGTTTCTAGATCTTTAATGGCAGTTTCTGTACTCCTCATCCCAGGCCAGGAACATACCTAGGACCTGTTTATGGGCCTCACTGCTGGTGGCCCTGACCCCTGCCCCCACACACACACTTCCTCTTTGCTCCTGGTTCTGTAAATGTAAATTGAGTCCTGGCTGGGTGGTTCAGTTGGTGGGAGTGTCATCCCATATACCAAAAGGTTTCGGGTTTGATATCTGGTCCAAGCGAGTACAGGAGGCAACTGATGGATGTTTCTCTCTCACATTGATGTTTTCTTTTCCCCTTCCTCTTTTCAAAATCAGTGAACATAGCCTTTAGTGAGGATTTTTAAAAAATAAATTGAAGCCAAAACATTGAAAATGTTGGAGAGTTGGTGGTAGAATGGTCTTCCCTTGGGGTTAGGAGGCCAGCCTTGCAGGCTGGGGCACCCCAGGAGGCCTGGGCAGTGGGGGTGCAGCTTGCTCTGTGGTGGCAATCTTGGCTTCTCTCATGGAGGAGCAGCTGTGGGTGAAGTCCAGTTACTTCCCCTTCCTGGGCAACAGGAGATGAGACTGAGGTCAATCCTTGCCCTTGACACCGCAGGCCCCTGGCTGCTCCATCACTGAGGTGGACAGTCAGTGGTCTGACCTGACCCTTTAGGAGACATGAGCTGGGAGGCGTCTGGGTGGCTGCATTCAGCTGCCTGTTTCAGAGCCCACTGTGTGTGGGGGGGGTGGGGGGGGCGCTCCTCATTCCCTGGGCCCTCCCCGCCTGCCTGTTCACTGGGGTAGGGTCGAGGGTCAGAAAGGGGTGTTGGGTTACTGACCGTGGTTAGAAACAGCGCATGGGAAACCATAGCTGAAGTGCCTTTCCCACCCAGGTTCTATGCATAATGCAGCAGCTTTTTATTCTGTCTAGGGCTTATTAAAATTTCAGTGGCAACAGCGGCACAGACCTCTGGGGTTTCTTCTCTCTGGGAGGCAGTCTGGAGGGGCCGGTTCACAATTAGAGGCCGGAGGCTCCCTCCAGGCCGAGGCACTTTTTCTGCCCTAAATTCTTGGAAGTGTCCAGCTTCTACTATCTGAGACGGTGGGCAATGATTCTGGCCCCAGGGCTAGACACGTCCTTATTTAATTTTCATGACAGCCCGCAAGGTAAGTCTTGTCACCATTTACAGACGAGGAAGCTGATGTTCGGGCATTAAGTGTCTTCCCCAAGACCTTAGGGTCAGTGGCAGAGCTGGGACTGGGGCAGAGTTGCCCATCCGCCTGCCCCCATGACACCTTTCCCACGGGTCTTGTCACAGGGAAACAAGGGGAGGGGCTTTGCAAGAAATAAACTGGGAACTAAATTCTGAGGACTCGCCTTGCCATTGTGGATTTCTGGGTGGGCGTGATGGCTTGCTGACTCAAATCCTGTAGGGGTGGGACAGAGGGCGCTCTGTCTTCTGAAAGGGGTGGTGCAGGTGGCATCTGTGTCTGACTGCCTCCTGTGTCTCTGCAGAAGGAGCCCAGCGAAGTGCCAACACCTAAGAGACCTCGGGGCAGACCAAAGGGGAGCAAAAACAAGGGCGCTGCCAAGACTCGGGTAAGGCTCGGGTGGCGGTGGTGCGTGAAGAGGGAGGTGTGGGGAGGGACTGGCTTATCCGGAGCCTGCTCACTCTGCCCTGGTGTGCGGGTGGCAGGTAGCAGGGTCTTTGCTAATCGGGGAAAGCAGTGTCATGACTGAGGTCTTGCTTTGGGGCTGTGGTCCTCCTGCCTGGGACAGACAGTGGGACAGATGAAGTCGGAAGTCCTGCAGCATTCCTGGTCTGGAGCAGGGATAACTGGGAAGAAGGAAGGGGCCAGCAGCCACTGGGCTCAGAATGTTACCTTCTGTCCTGGGTGCCCTGCATCCTAAGGGAGTGGGGATAAGCAGAGAGGCCAGATTCTCGGTGGCATCAGGCTTTCAGAGAAGTTGTTTTGTTTTTTATTTTATTTTTTCTAAGACACGACTCATATCCTCTGAGTCATGGGTGGAGGAGGGAGTGGGGGGCGTGTGTGTATATTGAGGGGGTCAGTGTGGTGGCCAGTCATTGCCAGCTGGACTTGGGTGGGCCTCCTGGCCAGGGGGAGACTCCTGAGCAGAGGTAGGCAGCCCTGTCCCTCTCTGCTC